AAAATAGGAGTAAATAGATTCACCTATTGTCTGGTCCCCCCATCTTTTGAACAGAAGTAGAGGTTTATTTCTTTTCCGTATTTAGGATTGGGTTTCCAAGTTCCTTCTAAAGTCTTTCCATTCTTTTCCAGTAGCCCCTTGTGTCTTAGTGGCATTATTGCTTTGTTTTGGGGTAAACTAAAAAAAGAAGAAATACCTTTGTGTATGTGTGGCATTGGTGGGTCCAGATTTTCTTAATTTATTAAAAAAAAAAAAAAAAAAAATTTGCTTTATTTAATAAAAATAAAAAACTTTTTATTTCATAATGAGGATATTCTATTAACAAACCAGGAATAGATTTAACACTTTGTAAACGCTAAGTGATTACAAAATGGTTTGGACTAAAAAAATAACTATAAAATCTTTAAAATCAACAGTAAGGTATTGTATATTAATAAATCATATATTAATATTAAGATATTGTATTTTAGCATTAAGATACAATATCTTTATTTTCTCAGCATACACAAATAGAAATTAAAAAGGAAAAAGAAAAATAAACATGCAGAATCTAATTTATATGTTGTGGATCTGTTTATAAATAGAGAGAAATAACCATCAGATAAAATAAGGACAAATGATATTTGATTTTTAACTTGTTCTGAGAGAATGTGGTTCCACTACATAATGAGGATAGACCCTGTGAAAAGAAGGCTAATGTGCTGTTCTAGAAGCTAGAGCTCATCATTGCCTAAACAGAGGGTAAAGGAGGAGGGAAGAGAATGGAAAAGAACTCCATAGTAAGCCCATCTGACCTGTGCCTTGTAAAAGGGTAAGGAGCCAGGTTGGGTTGAAGTGCTTCAAGGCCCTTGATATGAGGAATCCCAGCTTCCTGAGACAGCAGTAGTTTATGCCTGTCATATGATTGTGTGCTGAGAGAGAGAGACTTTTTTTTTTTTTTTTTTTAGATTGATTGTAATGTAACTGTTGTAGCGAAAAAAAACCAAAAAAAACTGTAGACAAGATCTATTGGAGTCACACCATTGCATTTATCATGGTTCATATGGAACAAACAGATTTTTAAAAGAGCAAAAATTATTTGTGTCTAGAGAAAAGTAAACATTTTTTTTTTTTTAATTTTATTAATAAAAATGGTTCTCGTATAACCTTGAAAATCACTGACTGGAGTAAATGGGAGAATTGTATTTATAAAAGATGAATAAAAATAGAATACACTAAGTTAATAGGATTCTTTTATATTTTCATGTCTATATGGACCACATAGCTTCAAGCATTATATATATATATATATATATATATATATATATAAGACTTCCAAAATCCTTGGTTTTAGAATAGAAATTTCTTCCAACTTTAAAATAGTGAATTTCTTAGATATAAATTTAAACCTTTCCAATAACACTTTTATACCTCATCACAAAGATAATGAATCTCCAATCTATAGTAATGTTAACTCCAACCATCCCAACCAAATAATTAGACAAATTTCTACCACTGTAATTATTAGAATTAATAAATTATCTTCTAATAAAAAAATTTTCGATGAAAATAAAATACCTTATAATAATGCCCTCAAAAAAAGTGGCTTTAAACAAAAATTGTTTTTCCTGGAATCTTTAAAAGATACTAAAATAAATAGAACCAGATATAGAAAAAGAAAACTTATATGGTTTAACTTTTCTACCAAATGTCCAATATAAATATTGGTCAAGACTTTCCGAAATTGATTGACAAATATTTTAATTGAAATAACTCACTAAGTAAAATTTTTAATAGAAAAACCTTAAAAACTAGTTACTCATGCACACATAAAATCTATAATATTATTAAATCACACAATAATAAAATATTAAATAAATTTTATAACAATAACCAACCAGATAGCAAATCTCCTTGTCATTGTAGAGTCAAAAAACATTGTCCAGTTGGAGACGTGTATATATATATATATATGTAAAATGAAAAATATATAGAAAGTCTGTTACATTTTGCCTGTTATAAAGCCACTGACAACACAAAAAGATTATATCCTTGTAGCAGCCGTATATGAAAAATAACAGTGGCCTGTTTTCATTTCTAAGTGAATGGAAATATAGAAAAATATTTATCTCTGTAAAAGGAATAGACTTCATAAATATCAAAAGAACTCGGAAATTTCATAAAAATTAAAATGACTTAGGAATGATATATACAGATTCAAAATAAATTTTGAAATATTTCACATTAATTATAAAGACAGAATTAATATAAGAAGTGAAAGAAAGCAGAAATCACTTCTGATAACATTAAATTCTTTATTTCATTAAGTAGATTTATATGCATTGTTTTGGTTTTTCAAGAGAAAAACATTCTTGGAAAAACTACACACTTTAATTTGTAATTTGCAACTGCACAAAAAAGATTTACACAGTAAAATGTCTGTAAAGAATAATTTAGATTTACACATTAATAAATTTAAAGATGCAAAGTAAGTGATAAAGATAATGTATTCTTAAAATGTTTTAATTTTGGTATACAAGGAATGTTGAAATCTAAGATTTGATTTTTAAGGTTAAATAAAACAGATTTGAATTGGAATGTAGAAATAAATAAGGCACTATTTCAGGATTGCATTTTATAAAGCAATTATTTGGTATATATTTTTTTTTTTTGGGGGGTTAAATATAGATTTGTTTTTTATCTTGTTATATTGAAATTATAATTAAACAAGTTTCTGTATTAGATATTTATGCTGAATATTTTACAATAAAGTATATTATACAAGTGAATATAAAATTTCAGAAGATATTTTTTATAAAGATCTAATTAGAATAAAATTTGATGAGAAAATGAAAAGCTGCTGAATTTTACACTAAAAATACAGAGAAAACACGTCAAATAGACCAATTTACAAAAAAAAGTGTAAAACATTTAGTTTTCATGAGAAATTTCTAATATTTTTTAAATAGCCATTTTTATCAAATACTGACATTATAAATGAATACATGCCAAAAATATTGACAAAAAATAATTAACATCAGTAAACATAAAATGTTTTGTCTCTTATTGTATAAAAAGGAAGGGGAAAAAAGAAGAGAAAACTTATGTGATAAGAAAAGTTGTAGATTTTTAACAGGAGAATGAAGCACATAATTTTAAATCCTAGACTAAAAAGTAAATTTTTAATTATTAAAACAAAAACAAACACAAAAGCAAAGTAGCTAGCTTTTAACTTAAAGTTAAAGGCTGTTAATTTGTGCATGACTGAAATATAAAAAAAAAAAAAATTAATTAGTACACAAGACATGAGTTACTTTTGGCATTCTTAATTCAGAGTAAATAAGGTTTTTTTTGTTTGTTTTTTAGAAAAAATTTTATGAGAGAAAAAAAAAAAAAGAAAACTGCTTAAATTTGAAAACATTTTTAAAAAAAAAATGAAATTACTGAACATGATTAAACTTACCACTTCTTCTGCGGAATGTGAAGTTTCCAGGCATATTGAAAACTCCAAATTCAGATAATGCTTTTAAAATAATAAATGTCTGTCTGAAATCATATTTTCCAGGCCATATACATTGACAGGCCAGATGCCCTGGCCACAATAGTAGTGGTGGTTATGGTGGTTGTTGGTGGTGGGGGTTCGTGCTTATGATACAGAAAAAAAAAGCAAGCAACCAGTAAGGCTTGGTTCCATCAACAATCCACTCTTGCTACTATGGCATTTTGTCTTGAATCAACTCACAGTTAACAAGTGATCCCTTCTTATCGTTTGGGAAGCAATCCAGGACTGTTATTAAGACAACTTCACAGTCATATTGATGCTCAGACAAAGTACATCCACCAAATGTTTAACCAAAGTAGATCTCAATTTAGATTGTATTTTTTTGTTTGTTTTTATTATGTATACACATTAAGACAGTGTGCGTTGTGAACATGTACCTATATAGATATAAGTAAAAAGAGCCAGTAAATCTGGACTCTTAAACTCAAAGTAATACCAAGAACAGTTTGTAGTATTTCCTGGTCAGCCCAATTACTGTAACCAACACCAAAAAAGCAAGTACTAGAGTGAGTCACATCCTATGGAAGCCATTGAGCTACTAGCACAAGGTCATGGATGGTGTAACAGTAAGTGACATTAGTAGTGACATGTCAGCCACATTTAAAAAGAGGAAGAGAAAACATTAGAATTCATTTTAGTCATTGTATTGGTCTTTTTAATGCAAACAATTTTAATGGCTTTAAAGTTTGGCTATATTGCAATTAGTCAAATGAAAAACAATTACTAAAAATGCCCAGTTCTGATTTTACTAATATCAGTGAATTGGATTTCATTAGTCTCACTTGGATAGCTAACAATGGTTGGAATATAATAAACATGAGGGTGCTGACCTTAGGATGATGGAGAGAAGAGCAGAAGGCGGAAGAGGTAGCAGAGGTGGAGGGTATAGGCACCAAGAACAAATCTGGCTTCATTCAAAATGAAGCCACCAAAGGCTTTCAGAAGAGGAGTGAGACAGGAGACAATTTTTTTTGAAGAGATAAACAATTTTGTCACACAAGGTTTTGAACAGACAAATAATTTTGGCTCTAAGGTAAGTGATTTTTTTTTATTTTCATATAATAAATCTCAGCTATCTTAATTGTTTATAAAAATATGTTATTTTTTATGATTATCTCTACCTCTGTCCCATAATAGTTGCTACATTTAATGTATGAAATGTTTATGCAAATGTAACAACTATTATGGGACAGAGGTATTATTGTTTTGGAAATGTTTTGTATAGTATACAGGATATGGAAAAATTATTTAATAGTGAAATGAAAAATGAACCATGAAGATAGTAATATATTGAAATTCGATTCACTTCTTTTGAGTAGATTCTTATATAAAGTAAATAAATATTGAAAAAATAGAAAAAAGGCTTCTAAAATAAACAAAAAACACTGTGCAATATGTAAAAAATTTCATACTTTCCCTTGGACAATATTAAACAAACAGTATTTTCCATATTGCATACCTTTTGGAACCTTTAATTTTTTCTTCTCCTCTTTACTGTCTGGTTCTTTAGGAAGAGGCTTATTTTCCAATGGCATATTGGGCTCTCTGAAATAACAGGAAAATTATTAGGTGAGTCAGTTAATAATTTAGATTAACAGAGAATAGGTTTTATTATCAATTTCACATTCAAAATAGGATTAAATTTAACATATCACAAATTGTTAAAAACATAGGATAAAGAAAAATACTTTTTAACTTCCCTGTTCTTGATTCCTATAAGATATAGGAAAAAAAATTCTTTATTAGAAAAAAAAGGCATGAACTCAAAGACATTATTAGATATTTTGTTTTAGAGGAGAATAGAAAATATGGGAAAACTTAGAAAAAATAGTTCGCACAGTAAAGGAAATTCTTTAAACATTCCAGTTCTGATATGTCACATTAGCCTGTCATCTAATGGTCATAAAACCCTTCACCATTAATATATATCTACACACAAATATATACTTTTCCATACATGTGCATATATACACACACACAAAGCAGGTCAGGTCCATAATAGATAGAGCGTCACCTTCAAATGTCACTTGGTCAATTATGTGCTCAAAACCAACCTTTAATTCTTTTCTTTTCCTTCTGTTCTTGTAGTCTTCTTTAAGTAGGGATTAGTCAAAAACTAAGTTATCAATTGTATATAAATAAATAAATTGTACAAAAGAATTATAGCAATCTTTGAAAAAGTGAACAATTTATTTTCTTTTATTCTGTATTGTTTTTAAGACCAGATTTACTTAAGGTGGAAAAGAACTTATATAAATTTTCATATTTATGCAACTATCTCATTCAGTGAGGAACACTGTTGGATACTTCACAGATAATGTTTTTTGAAATTAGATCTGGTTTGGTTTTCCCTAGAAACTACATTAATAACTTCTGACATCCCGATGACAAAACAATTAACCTCGACAATGAGGGTAAAAATCACAGTAACCAAATCAAAACTTTGCGTGGAAAAATTACCAACTAAATTAATTCAAAAGTTGAGAATGAAGAAAGAAATCAACTGATAAAAATAAAAATCTTTTCCTTCAGTTTATTAAAAACTATTTTGCAAAAAGCTGAAACAGCTGAGAGTAAAAATAAAACCAATCACTAATTTAAGGGAATGGGGAAAAGTTTTAAAAAAAATTTCTTTTATTTAAATTATTTCACCCCAAACACAATGATAATATTACTAGGATGCAGGAGGTTTACAGGGAGTGAAAGAGAATGAGGAAAGGACAATAAAGGAACATAGGTCAGGAAAACAGAAGATGGCAATTGACATTGCATTTAATTTTTTGAAGATTGTAGGTAACAGAGAAACAAAAAATCTTATGCAAGTTCAACAGGTGAGAAAAGAAACTGTTAGATGTGATGGTTGTATTAGACTGTTAGATGTAATGGTCTCACCATTATACTGTTGAACTAGTTAGCTAGTTTAACAGTATAATGGTGAGACCTAGTTGCCAATCTAGTAGCATGCTTAAATTCATGCAGTCTTGACACTAAAAAAAAAGTTCATCACAACAATTGTCATGAAAATATTTATAGAAAAGACAGAGGGAAGTCATGTCATGTCAGTGAGAAAGTGACTGAAGTCAATATGACAGATCAGAATTGACTATATCACAGACCCTTTTTTGAATTTTGTCAAGTTTCAATAAAAATAAAGTTTCTTTACTAATGATTATCATCATCTATTTTAAATAAAATATTTGTTGAGGACTAAATACTTAAAATAACATCTACCTTGTGTTACTATTTAAAGTTACTAATTAAAATTTTCAGTTTGCATATCTTGTAGAAGATTTTGAATAAATGAAAGATGTCAAATATTAGAAACTACATATTTTTTTTTTGTTCTTTTCTCCACTTAAAGAAAGTAACATTTTAAAACTAGTTTATTCTAAAAAATAAATAAAAGTAAATTTATACCACTGTTTATTTTCTTAAAACTTAAAGGAAAAAAGTTACTTATATCCTATGATATCATGAGTAAGCTTTATTAAAAACAGATAACAAAATTTTCATTCACTCTAGTCATTTATATAGTAACATAATAAATTCTGTTGGTAGCGGGTGGGGAATAAAACAATAATAATGACTTTATTTTAGAGTTGAATCTCCTAGATGTAAGAAAGATTTCAGTATTTCTAATCACTGCTCTCAATTCATTTTTTGTATTAAGAACTACGTATTGCTGATGGTAGGGAAAATAAATCTGCTAGGCACCAAACTTTACAATTGTTTTACAAATTTCAAATTTGCTTGAACTAATTCTAGTAATCTATATCCAGGAAGTGAAAGACAGTCAATGGTCAGGAATTAAAGCAAGCTTAACTGAGAGATAAATGCTATATATATATATATATATATATTATATATATATATATATATATAAATACATTGCTAATGATTTTGCGAAAGAAAGGCCCAGAAAATATGGATAAAAGTATCAGTGGATAGAAATTAAGGTAAGCAACACAGAATAGATATATAACATGCTAATGATTTCACAAGAAAAAAAAATTTTTTTTACAGTTTTAAGCAAATTTTTTTTTTTTTTTTTTTTTAATTATGAAGAAAGCAGTTATTATAAATAAGATTATTTTAGATATTTCTAATTCATAAATTGAAATGACTGATTAGTTCAACATTATTTGCTAAGGGGACGTAACTCCACAAATACTTTCTCCAAAAAAGTAAATTCAAGTCATGATGATAATCACTGTATTTCAAATATGGATGTGATTTTTCTAGAAAAAGCATTTTTATTTAAGACGTTAATTTAAATCATAGATATTTCTGAATAGGTTTAATTCCTGCATTAAAGAAATTGATCATAAGTAGTTTATATTTACTAAGATATATTTTAAAATTTTATCCCTCTCACTTTTTTGGTAACAGGAAAAAATTAAAAAAGCACTTAAAACCAAATATAGGTTTTAATGAAAGCTGAAGTATTTCTTAAAGAAATTCAGACAGAAACTTTCTTAAAGATGTTAAAAGAACCATATTAAAAAAAAATGCATCATATTTCTATACTATTTAATATATACATATAATTAACCAAGGAATATTTATGAACCCCCCCCATAAAAAACTCCAAAAAATTTAAATCAAAATACTTTTTTGTAATTGTTTTTATATTTTAAGATTATTTTGATTTTTAGTCATAATTTAATCATTTATAATTGCATATTTCAATAGTACCTAGGCTTTATGAATTTAAATGCAGTTCTAGATTGGTGGCAAGGTCTCATTAATTTACAGCTGAATTGGCCGCTAGATGTAACTGTAAGTCTTATGCAAACAGTTTCTTCTATTGCACTTCTTGCTTATGGAACTCTATTTTGGCTTCTTACTTCCCAGTCACCATTAATCTTCAAAATTTTAAACGCAATGTTAATCATTATCTTGTGTCTTTTTAATCTTTTATTGTTCTCTAACCATAATAGTAGTTTTTCTCATATTCTCTAACACTCAGTAACCTTTTGCATCCTAGTGGCTTTATTGTCTTGCTTTGGGTGAAATGATTAAAAAAAAATTCTGGGACTATCAGGGAAGTAGCATGTCAAATAAGTTGGGGGTTAAGTCTTAGTCTAGTACCAGTAATCTCTACTCCAAGACCTAGCCAAATTCAACCATCAGAGTATAGGACACTAGGTGATTTTTGGTATTTTTTTTTCTATTATCTAAAACCACACCTTATATGATAGGAAATACAGTACTTAAAATTTCATCATTAGTAAAGCTGTGAGTGTATCCCTCTGTCTTTTCTACAAATACTTTCATGGTAACTGCTCCAATGAGCTACTTTTGCTAGTTCCCAGACTGCATGAATTTAAACATGCTACTAGGCTTGCATCTCGGTCCCACCCTTTCATTCTCAAAGCAGTTAAATGTAGTGGTCTCTTCTACTCCATTAGCTACATGTCTCACACCTCCTGTCTGTGGAATTCCCTTCCTATTACTTGCTTCCCTGATAGCTATAATCTCCAACTATTCAAATGTAATGTCAATCAACATCTCTAGATGCCTTGATCTATTCTCTGTCCTTCTTTTCATCCTTTCCTCTATCATGCCTCTTTACTCTTGCTCCCACTCTCTGTAACCCCTTGTGTGCTAGTGGAATCCTACCTTGCTTGAGGTGAAATGTTTAGAAAAAAAAAAAAAATGAAAAAATAATATATATTACCTAAAACTATTTGGCCTTTTTGATAGACTGGACAGCTTTTTTTTCTCATATTCCTTCTATATTTCTTGACAAATTTAATGCTATCATAAGTTCTTAAAAGTGCATGTTAATGTAAAATGAATATTAAATAATAAAAAGGTAAAAGTTTGTTTTTTTTCTAATACACATCTGGTCATAAACAAGAATTACAGTTACATTAGTCACATTAATGGATAATGAAATTAAAACAAAGAATACACGCACAGTGTTGGGATGCCATTATTTCTATAGAATTGTTTGGTCATGTGCCATTTTTTTTTTTTTAAACTATTTTTGTCTATCATCACCATTATCATCAATATAATTGCTGTCTCCATCACATTTTTACTTTATTAATCATCAAATCTCTTTGCACATTAAAACAACCTTGTATCTGGTCAATTAGCAATAAGATAATATGCCCATCAGGCAATCTGGTTCTATATACAGTATCATTACAATATAAATGAATGAACATTTAATTCCTTTAAATTAAAAATGAATTCCTGAAATACTTAACCTGATGAATCTAACCTGAATCCACAAGATTTTTAAACAACATGAAATTGAAGAATGGGTTGGTAAAAAAAAGAAATATAACCAAAAAGATTTTGATGATTTTTTTTTGATTTTTTTTTATTACAGCTTATCAACCTTTTGCAGGTTATTTAAAGCCAGAAAATATGTTTTTTTAGACTGTAAGAATTTTTTGAGATAATAATGATTTACTGATACAATTCATATTAATTAACCAATAGCTGGGGAGAGAAGAGGTGGATTCATATCTTTCTTAAGGGTATTTGCCTCTAAGTGAATATAATGAATCTGACTGGAATT